ATAATTATTAGCAACTAATTACTAATAAAGTAATTTTGTTTTTCGTTTATTGTCGGTTGTTTTTTATTACTCTTTTTTATTAATCTAATTTGAAATTAGATTGTACCTAATTATTTTACAATTAGTTGGAGATCAACATTGTTTTTCTAATTTGTCAAAAAAGAGGTTTGAGACAGAATGATATAAGCACTTAGTTCATATTTGGAATTTAAAATCACGTTTTTAAAGTATTTTTGGTTTCTTACCGATCTAAAATTACTTAAATTATAAAACAAATTCAGTTTTGGTCAAAAATGTTCAAAATTAGTTGATATTTAATGTAAAAAGTTTTCAATTTTTTAGTTTATTTTGTACTCAATGTTAAAGAGTGCTTTTATCAATTAATTTAAGTAGATAAAGTAGTCTAGTGAAATAAAGTAATTTTTATCTACTGTTTATATTTTATCAACTGATTTCAGTAAATAAAGTAGTCTTTTATCGTCTAGTGAAATAAAGTAATTTTTATCTACTGTTAATATTCAAGAAATTCTTGTAGGTGAGTACAAAATATAACGAAATATTATACACGACGTGACTTCGTTACTCGTAAACTTAACCTTTTCACTCGTAGATAAACAAATTCTTTATCGTCTTGTTTAATAAATAACTATTGTTATTTTTTTATTAATGAAATAGTAAAAATTAGCAAACTACTAAAAATCCTTCTGTAAATGTCAAGGTTTTTGTAATTTTATCTTGCGTTAACTTTTTTTTGATTCTTATCTAAATTCGAACTCAATTGCTGAATTGTGTTTCAAATTTTTATATTGAAAACATTTTTGGAATAAATACGTCATTTGTTGTATAGTAACATTTAATTTTCTACAATTTTTCTCCAACATTTGAATATTTATGAGTCCATTATCCCATATTGAACTTTTCCCTAATAGGCCACAACCAATTATCCTATTCTGATCCAACACAAAACTCAATTACTTCGATCAAGGATAATCTTTAATTAAGTTTTTTTTTTTACTTAATAATGGCGCGAAATTTAAAATATGGGGGCGGTGCTTGATACCACGTGATAGTAAAACTAACCTCACAAAGTACAACTCCCGTTTCCAACTTCTCCATGAAGTTGTCGACGTTAATTTCGAGTGATGGATACATAGTTTGGAGCCATTCGGCCAAATCTTCTTTCATGGCCACTAGATACTCCTCACTGGATTTGAAGGGCCGGAAGGGCCGGGCTTCTAATAGTACCGAACTCATCTTGGGAGGCTTAGAGCATCACTGACTGGAAGTTGGAACAAATTTTTTTTATACATTTGTTTTAATCAGAAAATGATAAAGATAAAAATTGAGTTTTGGTGATAAAATAAAGTACCTGTCACTAGTGTTTCAAAAAAGTTAGAATCACACACACGTAAAGCACGAAAATCGCGGAGCGAGCATTGCGGTAGCATTCACCACAACGTTTCTAAGTCAACTGACTGTACATTCTAACTACTCATTTACAATATCGAGATCCACCACTACTTCATCAAGAATGAAACTTCGCTTCTTTGTAAATGTTGTTAAAATGTGACACATGAATCGTGGTAACTGTCAAAGTAGCTGTCATTTGTGTGTGAACACCCTCTCGGATCGAAACCGGCGCATTGAGGGGTGGAAATGACGCAGAGGCGGCGCTTACACACGGGCCGATAATATTTAAAACGTCCTTTAATTTCTTTTATTTGATTACTTTTGTGGCCGTGAACAATGCGGTACAGGTCGTTACCATATAAAGTAACATCCGGGGTATCGCAAGGTTCGTATTTGGGACCACTGCTTTTTAAGAAGTGAGGGTTTGGAGTGGAAAGTTCAAGAGAAGAGAAATAAATCAAAATAAAAATGTCTAAGAATCATGTTACAAGTTGTAATTAAGAGAAAATAGAAATAAAGTAAACCAGATTTTTCTTGTGACGGTGTTTTATGCATTTTTTTACAGTTTTAGTAAAAACAGATGTAAAAATACATAATAATTAGATTTCTTTATTTTATCAATTACTATAATAGTAAATTTATTAAATAAAAAAACACTAGTATAGAGTTTTTTTTATACGTATAAGGTCAGGTCAGGTTTTCAAATTTTGAAAGCAAAAACGGTCAAAATACTTACAATGTAAACAAAAGTAGAAACACTAGAAACATAAGGGAAGGTATATGCATGGTAATAATTGAAAAATTAATAACAAATACATCAACAAATAAAAATAATAAACATTGATCAAAAAGATATTTGTTTAAAAATTTTAATTATAAAAATAGTAAAGTTTGATCCACCAAAACAAATCATTTAATAATGAGCAAAAGTACAACAATGAAAATAAGAAACGGTCAAAACTTTTACACTTTTCTTGTGCTTTTAGAGGTATTTTCTGTTTTAATTTTTTGCTTACGTACGAGTATTAAACAGGAATGTTTATTTAATAAGTAAGTAAAAATTTGAAAACAGATAATGTAAAAATTCATCAAAATAATTTAAAAAGAATGGAAAATACGTTTTTTCAGGGAAAAATTACTCATCTAATAACATTGACAAATAGATACATGAATAACCAGGTAAATACGGTATTAAAGCAAATAATAGATAATAAAAATAAAATAAAAAAGTAAGCCAAAATTCGTGTGTGTTTATGAGAAAGTTATTAAAACAGAAATAAGAAGAAATGCAATAATACGCATTAAAACAAATTATAAAAAAATGCACAAAACTTAGAAATAGCAAATAAAAATATGTTACTAAACTAAATAAGAATAAAAAAAAATAAAAGTGAGCAAAAATGGCGACAATGTTACAATTTTCTTTAAATGTTTTTTTTTTCTTTCTTTAAAATGACGTTACTATAAAACAAAAATAAAAATAGATTATTGATTTATGATATTTATAATCTCACAGATTTGATTTTGGATTTGACGTCTAAAAATAGAAATTACAAAAAAAGATATGATAAGAAGAATTTATACGGACCTACAGGGTGCGTCAAAACTCGTGAAAAAAAAACAACTTTTTTAACATTTTTTCTATGTTCCTGGTGTTTTTCTCTGGGGCGCGAGTTCTGGCGCACCCTGTATATTCAATTTTCGAATTTTTTTAGTTCTTAAAATAAGAATTTTTTTTTGTAATTTTAATTTTTTAATTGTAATCTGATCATTTTATGGTTTTTAATATGTATTTTTTGCGAAAAAAATGCAGAAATTTTGAAAAAATCTGTGTGAATTGTAAGAAAATGTACGGTGATTTAGTGACGAATCCAAGGACCAAACAATTTTATAAAATAATCCAGGAAAAAATTATTTCAAGTAGGTGCACACCTAAACAAACAATTAAAAAACGAGCACAAATGAAATCGTAAAATAAATATTACCTAAAATATAAATAAATAGTTATATAAGTTTTATTAGTATCTAATCACTTAAATTCTAAATTTTATGGCTTCTCTCTCATATTATTTAAAATATTTCAAAAATCGGGCTTTTGGAAAAATTCCGATGGCTTTAACACGAAAAAACATTTAAGTAATGTAAAAACTAATCGAAACTTTCTTTTTATCACACACTAAATCATGTTTTAATTAAAAGTGTACTTGGGTAATAAAATTTCGTAATATTTTTGTTAAAATTCAACGAAATTAAATTGAAAGTAAAACGTAAGGTTTGTTTTTTGTCACGATTTATGTCGGTGTTAATTTAATTAATTATAGCAAATTTGCCCTAAATATTTACTTAAATGGTTATAATTGAATCGAATTGAGGTTATAGAAAAAAAAAAAAAACATCACGCAAAAGTTGATCACGGTAGGCTGTGTCTATTGTTTCTATCAATATTGTCACTAGATCAATCAAGTACTTGAAATTTGAACGCGACCTTAAAGGCCACGTGACGTATTGTAAAATCGCAATTTCTACCGATTATCCAAGTTTCTAATCATTTTCCATAAACGTACAAGAATGTCGCAAAGCAACTCGCTCCAAATCGATCTTCTGACAATTTCCGCATAAATTTCCATAAAAATCGAATGCACGACAATTTATTTATATATTCGTCAAGGCCTCCCATATCATTTACGTTTATTGTTTCACACACAAAAGACATATTGTGTGTCATTTGTTTCGATTAGGTTACAGGGTAGATCGCTTCACCTGGACTATTGCAAAAGTAGGCAACTGTCCTCGGGACGACCTTTGCCCTTACAAAAATTCGAGGCTAGGAAGCCTAGCATGTAAGCCAAGCGTTACCAAGGCTCGTATATTTTCCTTACTCATTAGTTTAAGGCACGATTTGGCCTAGGTTTTGTGAGAGGGGTATACCAAAAGGGGCCTTGGCAAGGTCGCGAGCCGCAAAAGTGGGCGGCATCTATTGACATTTCATTTTCTAATTCATTCTTAACAAAATTGTAACGAGACGCCATCTAGCAACTAACTGGCGACAAGCTAGTAGAAACCTGTAGGGAGGTGAAATGAAAGCAGTGGCAGCGGTTCATAGGGGGCACTAATTTGTTTTTTATATTATTTATACTCCTCTAACGGGTTATAATTTTTTTTAATTAATTTAATTTTTTTTAATGATAATAATACAGAATTGCGATTTGAATTTTAACAATTTAAAAGTTTACAAAAAAAAATATTTACGTAGAAAAGTTTTTTATTTATTGTTTTAAGAGCCATTCCTTTTTACGAAACTTTAACAAAAAAAAGTAATTAACTTATAGAAAATTTGTTTTTTATTACAAATTAAATGAAAATAAAACAAATGCTAGCATATTTTTGGTTACTCAACTTAAAATCACTCAATTGAACAATGTTTTGAATAAAATAATATTGGAAAACATATTTCCTTTTATGTATTAAAAAATTATTACCCGCCACTGATTTTTCCATTATTGCTGTGATGATTTTAATATTTTATTTTTGCAATTTTGGTTTCCAAAGTTACATACATAATTTCGGGCATTTCTATAGCAACCCGTGCAAATAGTCGACTCGTATAGGAAGGAAAAAGGGTTTTCAAATAAAATTTTATTTCTGGGAGAATTTTGTTGTATACAGGGTGAGTCATTAATTTGATGACGGGGGAGTACCGACTTTATTATTGAAAGTACGAACTTATTTTTTTTTGCTTTGTTGTATGATTTCCAAAGCTGTTTCGATTAAAATATTTTTTTACCACGTGTGGGGCATCTTTATTACAGGGCCGTACTCAGCTTTTTCTTTCAAATAAAAAAACTATGTATTTTTTTCCATATTCTAGTTTGCCTTGTTAAATGCGGCGTTACCTAGTTATTGTGATTTTAATTCTTATAGAATGTAACACATGCTATGTTTTCTATTTATAAACATGTTTTATGTAATAATTAACTATTTAATTATAATAATAAGAAGACTCTGTGTTTTTAAAACGTCAGACGAAAAAAAATATATAGTGAAAAAGCGTGTAACAGTTTTGAAATTAAAATAGAGGATGTTTCGTAATTGTTTATTTAAAACGATAATTTTCAATGTTTGTTGCCACCATTGACGCAGGAAATGTCCATTTCATCTTTAAATATTTATAAAAAAAAGCTTTGTAATTTTTTTTATACAATGTTTTGAAATGTATGTCCTATTTACATTTCCAGTAATTACAATAATTAGATAATTACGGCTATAAAGCAAAACAATTGACACGTGTAGATAGATCATAGCGATCATTTTTTTAATTGCATCAATTGTGTCAGGGCGGGAAATTTGAATTGAAATAAAACTCCTCCTATTTTTCAATATTTGTTATTGAAGCTCTTATACTAATACAAAAATTTATAAATACAATAATTTACACGTTAATAACTTAATTGTAGTTTTTACAAAATACTTAAGTTTTGGCCACCAGTAACATATCAGTCTCTTAGTAAAAATGCTGCCAACTTAAATCGCGACTAGATAAACTCCCTAACAGTCTTCATTAGAAATTTGCGTGCTGGCACTGGAAAAGGATCCTCTCGCCTCGCCGCTGATACAGCTTTCAGGTACTGTAATAAAATTACATTTTTTGTAACTTGTCCAATTCGAACTCTGACACACCCGCTTTAAAATACTCTTTCTTTCGTTCTCGACTTTACACGTGACTATCACTTCGGGTACGGTACAATTCGGTCCTAAAAAAGGCTCCTTGCTCGCCGCCATTGGTTCATCATTCGTGGATCTTCGTCGGTTTTGAACAGCCAGCTCGGCTTTCGCCGGAACCAATCCGAACACTTTCCCGATCTCCCGTTTCACTCTCTTGTTTCGATACCCGAATAAGAACGGTGAAATCACATTCGAAACCACCAATAGGATTAAAGTATTGAAATTGATAATGTGCGATGTTGCCACGTTTACCAGTCCCGAATTTAGGACTAGTGTCACTCCATAGGGGACGTAGCAAAACAAGACGAGAAAAATCACCAAAACGCTGATTTTTGCCGCTCGAGTCTCTTCACGATATTTAAAAACCGATGCGTTTGAAATTTTGTGTTTAAGTGAGGTTATGAAATTGTTACTAGCACGTTCGCTGCTCGTTCTAGTGACTTTTTTTGTTGCTGCAGTTTCTTCAAATCGCATGAAGTTAGGTGCGGATCGAACTTTGGGCAAAGACGCTCTTTGATCGTCCGTTTTGTAACAACAATCAAGATTGGTTGATGTTGATTTGCGCATGCGTTCACTGTTTTTATGCGCCGCTGTGTATATGCACACATAGATGACACAAATTGCGATAAACGGCACCAAAATCACTGCAAGACAATACGAAACGGCGTAAATCGTATTCAGGATTTGAATTGTCCGAGAATTTGGTGGTCTATCGCGACAGAAACGCCACAAAAAACTGTCACTTTCTGTCACACTACTTAAAACACTTAACACTAGCGCCCCCAACCACGTAGTAAGGATGAAGACAGTCGATCGGCATTTGTTGATGTAGAAGTGGTAGCGTAGCGAGTGGATAACACCAAAGTACTGGTTGATTCCGATGAGGAGAATACTGAAGATGGACAGTGTACAGACGAAACTTGTGCTTACTTGGGCGACATAGCACAAGACTGGTTGATTGGTGAGGGGCGGAGTCGAGTTGAAATAAGTGACAGTCGATAGTAGACTTTCGATTATTTCGAGATTTGTGGAATTCTCGATAATTACCAAATTTGAAATTTCGACACTTTCATTGGTCGAGTTCGGGGAGAGGGGAGAAGGTTGCGATTGGTCGACGATCAGAAGAGGGATCAGTAGAAGACTCGATAGGAGATTCGTGATCAGCAAGTTGATAACAAATCTGGAAAGAAAAAATTAGAATCATTGTTGCCAACTGACAAAAAGTACCTGTTGGGGACGGTCCTTAAGCCTCTTCGACGACAAAAAATCAAAAGTAGGAATGCATTGGCGGTGATGGCGATGATTGATGACGTCACCAGGCCTGCACCGATCAGCCAATGGCCGTCCGAATCCATTTATTACCTGAAATTTGATTGGATTAATCAAGGATGCGTTATGGCGCCCGGAGGGGAAGTTCAATTGATAACTCTAGACAGGCATGGCGTCGGGAGGGGAGTCCCTCAGCCGCCTCGATCTTTGCGAAATTAAAATCGTAGGTGGTGATGAATAATTGATGGGTAAAACACCTGGCCGTCAACCGTTACAATTTTTTTCGATTATTTTGCAAGTAAAAGAACACAGGGGTCATAACGGCGGTTTACCTCAATCAAGCCCACTCGATTCTGGCAGGATAATGGGACTTCCAAATTGGACATGATTCAAGGAACCGAGTAATTAATTGAAAAATGAGCGAAAAAAATCGAGGTCTCGAAGAAAATAATTAAAAAAAAGTAAAGTACCTGAAATTCAGGGATGTGTGCATCACGGAGTTTTGAGGATGACTGAAGCTTAGCCAACTAGGATAACGACTGACAAAATACGCGGTTGTAAATAAACCATTGATAAGGGATTGGTCACGTGTCCGGATTGCTCCACAGGAAAGTTACAAATAGCATGATGAAGAAACAAAGAAATTGTCACCGATCAAGGTTCGGAAGTTGATTTTTGCCGCATCATCTAGTTTACGGTAAAATCAAATCACCTTGACAGGTGTCTTTTTTTTTACAAGAAAGTCATTTGAACACTTTCAATGTTTCGCAAACTGTGATTTTTCGTTGCGGAAATTCAAGTCAAAATCGTTTTGCGTTTTTTCACCTTCAAAGTGAAACGAATTGACAGCGTGAGTCACGAGAGAAATAAGGGATTGATTTATCTTTGACGTCTCAATATAAGAAAATTTTCGTTGTGTTTCGATGGGGAATTACATCATTTACAAAACGATGATTTTGCGGTTTATCGCCAAATTTATTGTTTATGAAACGTAAAATTGCGGTTTTCGACTCGGACATAAATCTCGTCACCAGATGTTTTGTCAATTGGTTTTACGATTAATAAAATTCGTGTAAATGTGGAAAATAAAAGGATGTTTTTCTGTTTTTCTTGTCTCATTGTTTATTTAAAATTATGATGATGCAAAGATTGCAAAGTACAGTTATGAGCTTTGGCTCGTTAAATCCAACCCACACCTTAACCTAAAATTTGAACCCAGACACTTGATTGCCCAGTTTACACCTGGGCTGTTTTCAATAAGATTAACTCATTTTTATAAAAATAAACAAAAAATTATTCAAAAGAAACCTGAACGAATATCATTTGTGGTTGACTATGAACCTAAAGGACAACCTATACCTAAGCAATGGATTCAGAACTAAACCTAAACCTGAATCCAGGTATTCGTTACGTTCTAGAAATTGCAAAATTTGCGCCCAAGTCAAGGTTTTAGATTAATAGTGTTTTAGGAGTAATTCGTGAATTATTAAACCTGAACTAAAAGAACAACCTACATACACCTGGGTAGTGTATTTAGAACAAACCTAAACGTGAATTTTAATCCCAAATTTTGGATTCAATTTCTAAATTAAAAAGTCCCGACTAGTTTTGCTTTAAATTTTAATAGAAATAAACCTAAAATGGTGATTCTAAATTATAAAGTGAGGAAACCTAAATCGAAAGGTCAAACAATTACAAAGTTTATGCCCAAATCAAAGCTAATTTTGGAGTAATTCGTTATTACACCTAGATTAAGACTTTAGACATTTCTTATTTGCGATCTAAACCTGAGATAATGACTAAAAAAACCTAGGCAAATGCTTGCTTATGAGCTTTGTGTGTTGAATGTGAACCAAAAAGACAACCTAGACCTGAGGAATGGATTCAGAATAAACCTAGACATTCGATTGAATTTATAAATGAAAAGATTTATAAGTGAGGAAACCTAGTGGCAAGGAATTCATACGTAAACCTAGGCCCAATTTTTTATTAAGGCTTAATTACGTTCGATCGAGGTTTTAAACCTCGGAACCTATAATTATGAAAAAAATAAAAAATGTGAATAACTCCCACTGTGGTGGGTTCAGCAGTGCATGAAATTTGATTTATGTGAGGTTCTGTAATTTAGGAAGACATTGAAAAAATAAATATTAGCAAGAGTTCAATTAGAGAAAGAGGTCGAACAATCACATAAATCTAATTTAATTAACGTTGATGTTTCTTTCTCTGATTCATGGTCCTAAAATGTTCCATGTTCTTTAAATAATCAAAAGCACGTAACCGACACACCCTTATTGACACGTTTTGTTAGAGTCTTGAGTGTTTTACCAACTTCTTGACTTTTTAAACTAGATTTCGGAGTCAAGTGGGTGTCACCCAAAGGCCCTATTTTTTTTTTTGCAGCGACAAAATATTTTTTAAAAGTAAATTGACACACCTCTGTGATAAGGAATGTCTGGCGCCTCTTGAAAAGTAACAAGAAAAGTGTCGCAATTTATCAAAAAAATTCGATAAGGTGGTGGCGTTTCTATTTTGGGGTAGCGCAAGGTCTAGATAAAATTAAATTTGGGTTTATTTTGGGCCTACTTTCGCTTGGTTACATAAAATGTGCCAGGACGTGCCGTAATTTGTAATAGAAGTAAAAGTCGCTGTGTTTTATTTTTAGAAAGTTTATAAAAAAAATCAAATATTTTGAAACGTTTCATATCTTAAGAAGTTTTTAATTACTAACAATGATTGTTTCGTGTCAATCTAATTTTGAAAATGACCGGTGATTAAAAAGGTCAAGGTCACACCGATTGGGTTCATCAATCGACGTTTCGGCCACCACCATCAGGGGCCACCCAACCTCATTAAACTTCCGATTGTGCAAACTTATAATTACGTAAAAACAATTGAAATTTGATGATTTGCAAAAAATGTTGCTAACAGTCAAGTAGGTGTTGATTTATTTAAAAGCCAACTTTGATGCACTTAAGGCAAAACATCTGCTACTGTTTATTTAAATCAGAGTAATGAATGACATAATTCTATGAGAAAAAAAAAGAAGGTGCAACCGTCCTTGATTGGTCATGTGACACGTCCAAAATAGCGCGTTTTTCCAAATCATCACGTAGGCCACAATGTCCACCAACGTAACAAATTATAATTTGAACGGTTTTTAATTGGTTGTCATTTGAACAGTTATGAGGTCACGTGTCGGTTTTTCTTTTGACAGGAGCAGCAGCCTTGATTGAAAAAACATGCCAATCTTCGCTAGACCAGAAAATGATCATTTTAATTGTCAATTAATCACTCGAGGAAAATGTCATGGCGCTCTTGAATTCCGACAAAATAAACCCTCTATATTTCGTAACATCTAGTTAGCCGTGCTAATTAAACCCGTGACGTAATGACTGAATAAAGCTTCAACGATGTGTGAATGGGGCTTTATTAACAAAATTGTTGTCATTTTCGTTGCCTCCTTGATTGGAACATCACGTAACGTATTTATGACACGCGCCTACTTGATATGAATTAAACAAAATGAAAATTGAGAAACTTCCGTTTTTCGATTTTTCCACAACGTGACAAATGTCATTCTAATTATTAAACAATTCTTTGATTTCCTCTATTATTATCGCAAATTTTACAAAAAACGAGATTAAGGTTAAGTCGGCTATTTATAGCAATTTTCTGTTTATATACAAACAAATGAGTCAATAGCTTCCTAGATCGGGGCGGATTTTTCTCAATTTCAAAATATTAAAGGTTGCAAGACACGCATTTATAAATAAATCACAACTTTGCCAAAGTAAATCCATTAGAATTTTCACCTTTTTTTCACTTATTTCGAGACGACTTGCGTCAATATAGAAAACAAGTGAAAAATTTGACACCGACATACTGGATGACCGTTACTTTGACAGTTTGATGGATAGCGAAAAAATCGATTGTTTTGGCTTTTGTTACTCGAACTGTCATTTGTGGGCGGTTATTAAGACAGGAAAATTCATTGTGGTCGTGAATTTAACGAAAAAAAAAAAAACATTTTATTCATTCAGAATTATTGTCTGAGAGGTCTTTTGGAGGGCGGCCAAAAGTCAAATTTCGAATAAATTGATGAAAAATTTAGTAAAATGAAATGAAAAAAAATGACAATGTGATTGATTGACATTTCGGAATAAATTATTATGATTTACAACCAAAAAAGATAATATTTTATATTTTATATGACTGTCATGGGAAATGTCACAGTGGTCATAAATTTAACGTATTAGCATTCATTCACATGTGTTTTGGAAAATGGCCAAAGGTGAATTTCGGAAAATTGTATAAATTTTGAATTGACGACACGGTTGGATTATTTATGGAGCAATTATGTAGTCGCTAATTTAGAAACAAAGTGGAATAATTGCGCACAAATGTCAAATATAGACTGGTCAAGAAACAGCAAATCTGACCTTTTTTGACAAAATTGCGGGACTAAGCACTAAAACTAAATCAATTTTTTAACGAAAAATTGCAAAGTAGGTACTCGTATAAAAATTACAATAAGTGTCAAATTTTTGACAACGGGATATGAAAATCAGTACGATATAATTACCTGAATTTAATAATTATATGTATTGAGTAAGATTTTTTTTTCGGTACTTAGAAGAGTGAAATTTTGGGTTGATCAGTATGAAAGGTACACTATTTTTCCAAAAATTGTCAAATATTGTCAAAAATCCCTCTTTATAACTCATTTAAAATCAAATACTTTAAAAAAATTTCTAAGAGAAAAGTCGTAAATTGTGAGTTTAGGATCACAAAAAGTGTAAATTTTGACACTGAAACCTTAAAAATTTATATTTCAATGTTTTAATTTTAATTTTTAGTTTTATTGTGGATAAATTGTAAAACATCTACTTATTTTATGATTCACAAAAAATGTCAATTATTTGACACAACAATATTGGACACAATTAAATATTATAATTTAATGTAATACAGGTATTGTCTAATATTTTTTTAGTGTTTAGAGCAGTGCGAAATTTTGTATTTTAGTGTTAAAATATTATTAAACAATTATTTAAAACAACTTTTTTCTAATTTTATTTTCTTGAAAAAAATTAACTGAAAAATGTCACTTGGAAAATGGTCAATTAAGAGTTTAAAATTAAAACTGACTGTGGATAACTGTATAAAATGTGATAAAAAATAAAAATTAAATGCCACGAGAAATAACTTTAAAATCAGTCAATTTGCGAATTCGACTTTTAACAACCAAGTGTTAATAGAAGACAATTTGTCTGTTTTTTTATCGTTGATTAAATAAATGTTAAGTCATTGTGATTTTGACAATTTTTGAAACCAAGTTCTTGACAATTATTCCATAGCCAACTTTTGTAATACACCCAGTGGTGACGTTAATCACTAGATATCGCAAAATTGTCAAATTTTTCTCACATTTGAATAATTTGATTGATAATATCCTGGAATAATTAATACTTGAAGCAACTTTTCATGGTCACGTGATCGCATAAATGAAAAACAAAAGAGATAATCGTCGAAATTAGTTCATCAACTCTGTGTTAATTAAAAAAAAAATCCTGATAAAATCAAGTGGTGCTTGATTTGAATAGTTCCAAAGTCAAAGCCAACTACCTTCTCACTGTTGCGATTTCTCCATTTCGCACACTTTCACGACGTACGCCACTGGTGTGGTGACCGAAACTCTGGGAAAAAGACGGTATTTTCGATCTGGAGCAGGCCAACAGCTGCATGCACTAAGTTAAGGCCCTGTTCACAGTAAACAACTCGACTTTTTCCACATCTAGTTGCCGTAGTCTGATTGAAATGCCCGACCGCATTTCAACACTACTAATTCACAACTGATTCCAAGTCGGGAGCGACTCGTCGATATAAAACGGTTTGTCTACGATTACCATTGTATGGTATGGGAGAGGTGGGTGCAGTCGACCAACCGTTTACAGGATCGACGGGGTCACGTGTATGCGATGAGAGTGAGATGGGCGATTGGAACGGTGTATGAGATGGGTTGAAGGGTCCAATGGTTGAAAAATCCAGTGACGTCACTTGGGGTGCGTTCAACTGGGTGATGGGAATGGCCTTCCGAGGACGATGGGTGTGTGGGTGCAAGTAGGTGGAAGAGGTTCGAATAATTATGGATAATTGAATTTCTTTGACTAATGAAGCGAATATTTCGTGAATATTGAAGTTTTTTTT